TCAACCGGTAATGATTGGAGAGTTAATTACTTTAAAGCCCACAAAGACAAGCTGAGGTGTTAAAATGGCCCCTGCAAACATCAGCATCCTTCCCTTTCACCAGACTAACTAAACACAGCAGGACAGTAGCAAGAAGGACCTGAGCAGCCCCTGATTACAGCAGTTTTCACCACCTCTGAGCAAAATGATCTTTATTCATTTTCAATTTCATCCTTTATCTTGTCAGCTGTCCTCACAAAGTATTGCCATAAATGTGTATAAAAACACTAGGCTGCATCAAATTCAGTGATGCTGGTTGGTACAGAGTCCAGCAATATTCCAGCCCTCCTCTTAGGATTAGCCTTGAAAACACCACACTTGCACTCAGCAGCAAAAGCTTCCTGTCATATCAGTGCCTTTTACATGGCAAAAGGAGAAACTTAAATCCAGTACAGCTATAACTAACAATTTACTGTGGAGCCTAGGTGCTAATCCTTTTTTCTCCAGCAAATTTGTTTTGAGTCTCACATTATATTAAGATTCCATTTGTGAGGTTTAACACAAGATTAGCAGGTGTTTCAATGTAAAACATAAAGAGGTTAAATACATTGATAGGGTGTTTCAGATGATGATGAGCTATTGTAAAAAACCCTATTGACCCATTGGACCCAAAACAATTGATTGCCATTTATTAAAGCATCTATTAATCACTTACTAATCCTTTATCATGCATAAGTAGAACCTCCACACCAAATACTGTGAGACACTGTATATATGAAAGACACCATTTTACAAACATTGTCATATATAAGAGCCACCTGGTTTTTTCCTTCTTTGCTTTTAGCATTTTCCTTTGCACTCCCAAATTCTATTCATCCCATTGCTTCTTTAACATGTAGCATAGTTAATGCAGCAAAAAGACTTGTTCCTGCTGAGGTCTGAAATGTGTGTTAACAGGCCAGCAGTTTCTTCTCCACGACCAGCACAGGACCTCTGAAACTGGATCTCTTGTGCCCAGAGTAGAGCCCTTAATACTCAGGTGCCCAGATTTTTCCTGAGGCCAGCATCCTCTTCTAACCACTTTGCTTTACACTTTGTCTATCTCTGGTTGGAGAACAAGAGAAATAACAGTCACCTAACAAAGCTCTTACAGGAACTAATTCATTAAGGATTGTAAAGTACTTTGATATAGCAGTGTGGTATATTTGCCAGAGTAGAAAGGAACATGTGGGATTTATTATAAACAGTCACTGTCTCCATCCCTGTGGGATGACAGCTGATCTACCACAAACACTTATTTCCAAATTACAGTATTATGCCAATTACAACTCCTGAGTTGAAACTGCTATAGCATTTACCTTATAATGTGCTAGTTTCAGGAATTAAAAAACACCAGAATCAGTAAAATGGCAGCAGGAGACTATTTTACACTATTATTCAATTTGATTAAATGGAATAGATGAGACAGCAAATGATCAGAAAACATGCCCACAGGTTACTCACTTTGTGTGTATATAAACATATGAGTGTATATATTAATATAATCTATAGTGCTTAAGTTGGGTGGTGGTGCTCTGTTATGTGCAGCAATGCATATCCTCATACATAAACCAAGAAGCATTCTGCTTGTGCAGAGGAGCAGACATAGTTTCATGGATTAATCTTTGAGATTAAATTAAAATACAAATAGCTGGGGGAAAAGAATATCACAAATGAAAAAAAAAAAAAAAGGTTGTTTAGTCCAGAAGGAATGTGAGGTTGAAGGTGAGCTAAGCAGAGGAGGTTGTTCAGGTAAAAGAATTTATGCATTCAGCTCCTACAGGCTGGGATGAAACTCATGGCACTCTTAGGATGACTTTTCTTCCCAGGGTCACTTCTTTCAACAGCATATGCCAGGGGATGCAATTTCCAGGTGACTGTAGTCAAATATGTGGTTGTGTGTGGTAATAATAGAAGGAACATCCTGGCTTGGTTGAAGTCATAGGACGTTTTGCCAGGCTGCGATGGGGGCCAAGATTTTACCCTCCAGCATCTCCAAAGATAAATAGGGATCTGTCACCATACCAACATGGACAACTACATAATTGTTTCTAAATATGTAACAGCCCCACTAGTTCTAATGGAACTGCATCAGTGATTAAAGGCCTCACAGGGAAATTCTTAATATGGCAGTAATTTCATGCACAAGAATTTTCTTACTGATTTCAAGCAAGTGCTCAAACTCTAATTCGGTCTTCTTTTTTGTACACTGATGAATTTATTCTGCACATGTCTGGGCTTTATTTAAGCAGTAGTCTCCAGCATGTCTTACACCACAGCCATACAGCAATTTTCAGATTTTGATTTTTGAGAACTGAATTTAACTGAGACCATGCAGAGCCCTTAACTTCTTGCTTTCTCTCACTTGTGATCAAAAAATAGCAGTGTTAGTGCATTTTTAGAATAATTCTAAGGACTTTTGAGGAGAGACATATGCTTACTACATACTCTACAATATATATGTACAATCATATATATTTTTCCATTGGGGGGGATGTGGGGCAAAAATGCTCTAAATAAGATTATTTAAAATAGAATAAAAACAAAGAGACTAATAGAACAAAGTGAAATGGGCCAAAGTAGATCTTTCTACAAGAATACATGGGAAAGTTATTTTGATTTTAGGTACTCTTGTTTAATATTAAGGACATGATTTTAGCACATGGAATGGGTGTATTCAATGTATAAGTGTTTAGACACCTGTTACTACTTCATCAGTTTGCAAGACTTATGGGAGAAAAATCCCGCAAAGTCTGCCCATGAAAGACATACTTAAGTGTAAATTTTATTGTTTGCACTAACTTCATTGATGGGCTTTTTACATTTCCATAGATATTTTTAATATAGGCTTGAGGGTGTTTTCATACAATAAACCAAAAATATTTCTTATCTAGATGACAAACCAAAATGCTTATAGACATTCTCAGTTAGATCCAAAGCATTCCAGATTTCTCTGTGTAACATGCACTATCTCAAACTGAACTGCACTAAATTGCCATGATGTAGCTCTTTTGAAGTTATAATTTTGGGAAATAGTATAATTTACAGTGACAGTGGATCTGAGTTTGCTGGACGATGATTCATGTATAAAGAGTTCATGTGCTTAACTTCACAGTTTACATAATATCAGATACACCAGTAAATGTCAAGATCCATAGGAGTTTCTTTGCAAACAAAAGATTCTTGAATATGTTAAAAACTGGAACATAACACCCAATGACATATCATCCTGTAAAATTTATTTTTGGGAAAAGAGTTAAATTGAGAAGAAAGAATGGGATTGTTTAAACCAGAGACTTTTATAATTTTTCTCTGCGTTATTACTTATGTCTTCACGACATACTTGTAATTTCAAAATGGCCAAACATATTATCAAGTTTTCTCCAGTGTTTTGTTTCCTAAGCTGGGATGTGGCCATGCCAAGTTTCAGTTTCAAGAAATTATTTTTATGTTTTTGCCACTAACCAAGTTGTAAATTTCCCGGAAAGAAAAAAAAAAGTTTCTGATGGAAATGTTGACACAACATTCAGAATAGTGTTGCAAATGTGACGCTGTGCTACAAATTGTGCTGAAATGATTTATAACATTTCCAATAATTTAAAAACTATTTTAAATCACAGCCAGGTCCTGCATAATGCATGAACCTTGACGGATTCTCCAACAAGTATTAGGTCACTACACATTTCAATTTCCCTCTTTATGTTTAAAAGGCTGCATCTGGCAGTTAAAAGACTAAAACCTCAGTCAATGGTTATGGTGTGATAGATACATGCTGGAATATTATTTTCACCCGGTAGCTTTCTGTAAGTAGGTCATACAATTTTACAGTGCTCTGAAACATCACCAAAGAGCTTCCTTACACAGTATCTCGAGCAAGTGACTCTGAAAGAAGTTGCAGTAAACCTTAATGCTTTTTTTTATTGTTATGGAAACTTTGTTTCCTTACTAGTCTACATGCAGTGCACCATCTAGGGAAGATCTTAATTTATTGTAGAAGGTAATTTTCCACCCACTCTTAAGGATATTTTTTAGAATTTTACTTTTATATTTTCTTATTCAGGACCAGATATTTTTAGAAAACTTTGCAGGCAGGCACCTAACTTAACATGTCATCCACAAGATGTGGAAAAGAGGATATTGAGGAGACATCTGGAACAATCATGATTCAAGTTTGGGAACATGAGGGATATCTAGCTGTGTCTGCTTGAGTGGATGCTCAGGTAGGTACTCTGCCTTTCCCTCCCTTTTGTGGTACCCTATGGGATGTATCCCATGGTATTTTGTCATGCCATGCTTGGGTAAAAAGTGATGTTTGGGTGAAAAGTGCTGTTTGCTGGCCGTTGGTGAGAAAACCATCACAAGGAGTATTAAAACCCAGGAGTAGAACTCGATGGTTGTGATGGGTCCCTTCCAACTCAGCATATTCTGTGATTACTGAAAACTTTGACATGGTGAGAGGCCTTTGGCAGCGCCGGTCAAGACAGCGCGGAGAAAGCCGAGCTTTAAGTCCATACGTGTTATCACCTTGTTCTTTTAAACATATTCCTCGGAACATCTTGTTACATGTACGAACTCAATGGGAGGACAACATCTGTGATTAGTTCACGCTGCTTCCACCCCTCAGACTAATAGTGGCAGCTCCAGCACAGCCCCCTTGCCCCGGCCCGGGGGAGTGCCGAAGCCCAAGGGCTGCCTGCGGGGTGCTGCCCCCGGCGCCGCTCCAGCCGCCCCGCGGAGGACGGAGAGCGCAGCGCGACCCCCGAGGGCGGCCGCGGGCCCCGGGAGGCGCCGGCGGCCGCTTCCCCGCAGCCGCCTTCCCGCCCAGGGGACGCGCCGCCCCACAAACTTTATCGCCTTTCCCCCTTTCTCCCTTTTTNAACATGGCCTGCCACTGACTTACACAGTGATTTGAAGGATTGATGCCTGCAGTCAAAATCTGTTATGAATTTCTAGCTGTGAAATGAATTTATTTTTTTTTTTGAGGGAGAAAAGGTGGGGGGGAGCTCAATTTCCCACTTGCCAACAGCAGATAAAAAAGTGGGGAGGGACCTCTTCTGTCACAGCCTATGTAGATTAACCTTTCAATTAGCTGTTATCAGGTCCTGTGTCTTAGCACCAGTCCTCGCAATCTGCGTCCGCCCGCACCGGGGAGGCTGGAGGTCTGGGGTGGGTTTCTGTTTTAATTTCTAAATTAATGATAATTGCTCGCGTGGCTCCCCTCCCCCGCCGAGAGCTGAACGCGTGTGTCTGATCTGCCCGTCCACCTTTTAGTATTTTGGAGTGAGAAGAGGAGCCCCGCGGAGGAGGAGGAGGAGGGGAGACAAGGTATTCTCTCTGTATTCATCTTCTTTTTTCCCCTCTCGCGGAGGGGCTTAGGGAAGGTAACTGGTGCAATCAATCCGCTGGCTGGGGATTCCCTCCACCCCCTCCCCGGCTCGTCTGGCTCTCCTGGCTGGGTCTCTTCAGTGTGTATGTGTTTGGGGAAGGGGGTGGGGGGAGGCTGTGTTGTTGTTGTGTTCCTGGCTCTGCTTGCAGCCAGGAGAGAGAGCGAGCGGGCGAGCGAGAGACAGAGCGGAGAGAGCGAGCGAGCGAGAGAGAGAGAGGAGCCGCGATCGCGTTTCAGGGGCAGCACATTCCGCAGGAACCGCTGCTGCAGAAACACACACGGGCAGAGAAAGGAGGTCATTGCAAGCAAAGGGGGGAACCTGCATCGGAGGTTAGATTCCCAGGAGTTTATGCGGGGGATAATAGGGAGCATGCGATGGGGTTTGTTTTGCATTGGGTGACAGGCTGCAATTTGCCATAATAACCCCCTTTCCCTCCCCTCTCCCAGCGCAGGGGGCTTGTCACTAGGCTGGGTACTTTTTTTCCTTTAGCATCGGAGGCTGATGCACGTGTTTGCAGACACTTGCGCTGGGTAAATGCATTGCAATGCTCTGCGTTTTGCAGGGGAGGGGGAGCAGCAGCAGGGGGTGATGGCTGGGTTGGATGGGGTGGGGAGAGGGGGAATGGAGTGGCGGAGGGAAGCAGGGGATGGCTGAGGTTTTTGTGTTGCATGTTCCCACCCTGTCTTTCTGAGGCGGCAATTGTTCCTTCGCAGACGGGGTGACAGAGAAGTCCCTGGTGCTTCGCATGGCGAAACTTGCAGGGACCTGCATGTGGCTGCAGAGCCGGGAGTCATTGTCGTCGTCCCCGTTCCCACTCCCTCCTCCCTCCCCCGGCGGTGCGGGGTGTGCGCGATAAGCGGCTGCCAGTCCAGGCACCTTGGGAGGTGATGCTGGGCGCATGCTGCTCCATCTCGCCCGCCCGGGCGAGCGCCAGCCGCTGAGGCGCGCGCGACGCTCAGTATTTAAGGCGGCTCATTAGTGTGTGTCGCGCGCCCGCCCGCCCTGCCGAGCTGGCTCAGGCGGCCGCCGCCGGTGTCTCGGCAGCGCTCGCGCTCCCGAACAAACTTCGGGAGCGAGCGGGTGGGGCGGTGGCGGGGGCTGGGGAGGCCGAGGGTGGGGGGTGGCGGACGGGCGGCAGCGGCGGCCAACGGGAGGGTGGGATGGCGAGGAGTCCCGCCGCCGCTCCCGGCGGCTGGCCAATCGCGAGCGCCCCAGGGCCCAGCGGTGAGGCGGGCGGGCGGGGCGCGCCAGTGTGTGGCGGCGGCGGCGGCCAGTGTCAGCCGCCGGCCCCGCCCCCTCCCGCCGGTGGGCGGTGCTGAGCGCGCCGGGAAGGGGCGCGCCGCGTGAGTGACGGGCGGCGCCCGCCAATGGGAGCGCCGGGCCGGTTGCTGGGCGGGCCCGGCCCGGTGTGGGCGGGCGGCGGCAGCCCCCCCCCGGCCCGTGAGCGCGCAGCGGCGTGCGCGGCGCGGGCCAATGGCGGGCGGCGGTGGGCGGGGCGCGGGGTAGGTAAGGTTTTAATGAGCCTCCATTGGGCTGTAATCAGTGTCATGTCGGATTCACGTTAAGTACAACGGGGCGAGACAAAATGGCGGCGTAGGTGCGCCGAGCCGCGCGGGGCGGTCGCGGCGGCCGCGGGCAGCGCGGAGCGGGGCAGGCGGCCCGGCGCGGCCCGGCGGCGGGAGCGGCGGAAGAGCCGGCAGCAGGGGGAGCCGCTGCGGCGCCCGGAGGAGGCTCCTCCCCCGCCGAGGTGAGTGGTACCGGGGGGGTCTCACCTGCCTCCCGCGGGGGACGCGCGGCCGCCGCCCCCGGCCCCGCCCGGCGCCCCGCGGGTGCGCGCACGGCCCGGGCTGCCCTGCCGCGGGTCGCCGTGCCCGGGCGCTGAGCCCGCGGGCCGGGGCTCCTGCCGCGGCGATGGCAAACCCCGGAGCAGGGCGGGCAGGGCGCAGAGCCAGCCCCGGCTTGGCCCCTTCGAATGCAACAATGCCTTGGCCCGAGGCTCTGGGCGTTGCACATCTCCGTGGCTGGGCTAGTGCTGCAAAAACCTTAAGTAAGTTGGGGAGGGGAATAGTCCAGCTTGGCGGTGCCACGTTTTGGAAGTGATGTTCACATTGTGTGTTCTTTGCCCGGACCTCACCTCTCATACTCTGTCACTGAGCATTGAAAATAACCCCCTCTGGCAAGAGCAGACGGATACCCACCCCTGCTGTTGAAAACCACTATCTCAAGAAGAAATGTTTTCAGTTCACCTTTTTCCAGGTGAACTCTTGGCAGTGAATATTACCTTTCCGTATTTCCTGCGGTTCTCTAGTACTGTATTTTAAAGTACTCAGAACTTCCACAGGAGAAGGTGGGAAAGGTGAATTTGGGTGATTTTGCTGCTGTCATGTTGTGCTGATGCTGCTTCCTCTGGTGGCGCTTGCTGCTGTCATGTTGGGAAACGATTTTAAGCAGATGATCTCGAAGAAGCTTGTGGGGTATCTCAGAGCACAAGCACTTCCATCAGTTTGTTTCACATGTGCCACTCTTCTCTCCACATCCACGAGTCTTTAGTGCAGTTTTGAAGTTACTGTAGTGTATACATCTGTCTTTTTAAAGCATATAGATGTGTCATTGCTTTTTCTTAAATTTGGAAAGCATATGGTGTGTAAAGAATAATACAGTAGCTGACCTGAATAATTTTAAGAGGGATATGAATGATGGGAGTCCTTACCAGGATCTGCTTTCTCCCCATCTCTTTATAGGTCTGTGTGTTTTGCAATAGCAAAACAACTATCTTGTCTGTTTTGCATCATTAATTGAGATGAGGAATACAGAATTGATTAGCTACAGAATTCTAAGTAATGGCTTGGAGCAAGGAAAAAACGGCAAAAATGGAATGCAATGGCAGTCTTCTCTTCTTCGTCCTCCTCTGCTGCAATCCTTACCTGACCCTGATGCTGCAGCAGAGAGCTGGCCTGCTGCTGCCTCTCCTGAGTGTGTGCAGAGCAGGTGGGAGGGAGCAGAATGAGATTGTGCTTCACAGGTCACCAGCAGGTTGCACAAGTTGCTGTCATCTCCCCCAGCGGCATCTTCTTCTCCCTCCTTTCTTTTTTGTTTTTTTTTATAGCTGTGTTAACCTCAGTTTTTAAAAGTTTAATTGCATTTACATTTATGAAAGGTGAAGCAAACTTTTAATTAATTAAAAAAAAACAAATTTAGATTGTATGTTGTGATATTTGTTTAGTAACTTTTGGTTTTAGTTATGGAGAGAAGTGTAGCTTTTTTTGTTGCTGTTTTTTTGACTACACTGCTTGTTTTCACAATCAGGATCACCTGGAAGCAATTCCAGGTACTAGTTCAGTCTAAGAACTACCTTATTAGAGGATTATAGGATTACTGATGACACCTGAGATTGAAGTGTTCAGTCACTGCCTTCTTTAATTATAGTCATCTGTACAATAGGTGTGTGCCTTATAAAGGGCACATTTGCATTCATTCTAAATCCCAAGCTGAAATTTTGCAACTTCTTTGTATTTATCTGATAATTTATGACTTAGGTAAAGGGACAAGCCTTGACTAGAGATGGTTTTTCATGTTTTAGAGCTAATGGGCTCTACTTCACCCTCTGATGCTTCTGTTCTGCACCTCTTCAGTGGCAGTCTTGTTAATAGATTTGGTCAGTCACATATTACATCCAAACTTTCTCAAATGCTTTTATTTTCAAAATAAGATACCATAGAGTGTAGAAGTTGAAATAGGATAGATTACATAGAAGGAACTTTATGGCTGTTGCCATAAAATTTGGAAGTTATCCTGTGCATTTAACAGTATGGAAAATCTATTTTGTGACTGAATGAATGCTGCTGAGGGTGATTAAAAGTTAATTACAAGGGGAGGAAGATTAACAAATAGACATGAGTGCCTAAATAGACTAATTTATAATCACTTCTTTAAAGTGGTTTCAAAAATTTCTTCAAAATCTTTGAGGTAATTTGGGTAATCATCACACTTTTTATATTAAATTACTTATGACCACCTATTTGTAGTTTTTGTAGAATTGCATTCTAAACCTAGAAACCTGATTGTAACATTGTATTTCTGAGTATCCTTTGATGTTGAAACTTGCAAGATTGTTTCTAAAACAATTTATTTTGTCTCAGCTAGTACTCTGCATGGAGATGTGTGTGTTTATGTGTTGCCAATCTTGTATCAATCTGTGTTGATTTCTGAAAGATATCCTTAATTTATAGCTCCAGGATCACACACCCAAGTTGTTTTGCTGGGAAAGATGTTTGTTAGTAATAAGTTATTCTGACTCCAGTGTGTGGCACAGCAGTCATGGAGGTCAGGTGGCTGCACTTCAAGTTCATGTGCGCTCCAAGTGCCAGAGTGAGAGAGGCTCTAAATTGTGGCAAAACAATTTAAAATTGGGTTGGATGCACTTTGCATGGTTCCTTAAAGGCAGAATGAACTTGGATACTGTTGGAAGGTGTCTGTTTAAGATGTCTTGATTTTTGCTCCTGAAATCCTGTCCAGTGGATTGGAAACTGTTCCTGCTGATCCACTCTACTGGGGTTGATTTAGTAGGTGCTAGCATGCAGGAGGTTGTATTGCACGCAAGGAGTTTTAAGTAAATAAGTAAAAATGTCGTTCTGAATGTATATGGCTGTGAAATTCTTGTACCAAGCAGTAGACTTTATATGAAGATATAGGTTTATGCTAACCTTTTGCCACAGTTGTTGGCCAATAAAAATTCCTGTAACCCACATGTTATAGCATTTATACTGAAATGTTCATCAGTGTCCAGGAGCTTGGAACAGACCCTGTACTGTGTGTTCTGGAATTTAATGGAACTGATGTGGTTGCTTGTATGAAATTTAATACAATAGTAGTGCAGTAGATGTAAAACCAAGACAAGTATGTCTGACTCAGCAAATGCAGTGTTCAGCATTTAATTAAGTTTGGACTATCTTAATGAAGACTTACAGTGGAACAGACTAACTAACTTTAAAAGTAGCTTTCTAGGAATCTGGGACTTTATATGGGGCTACAGAGAGCTTTTGAATCTATAGGAAGAGTGTATGAAATAGTCTAAAAGGGAGTGAACCTCCACTATATATAGGGTTCTGCTTTGCTGTGTTATTGTATTTTAATGTCAGATTTGTGAGAGAATTTGTAGGATTTATAATACTGTGGAAACACTTTTCTTTCCTACATTTCTCTGCATTTTGTAGCTACAGTGTTATTTTGGAATTATCTGAGAACAGTGAGTATAAACAATTCTGTTAGGGAAAGAATGCCTTTTGCTAACTGAAGTAAATAAAAAAGGTCTGTTTGCAGAAAAAAATTATTGTTTGCTTACAGATACTTGAAATACACAAAACTGTTATCAAATACAGCTTCCATGAGTATGGTCTGGAAGCAAGAAACAGGATCCAATCCATGTAGATCAATAGGGTTGGGTATGTGAGCCAGTTAAGTGTTCAGGCTCTGCATTTGCATCAGGAATGTGTCTTTTTCAGTCTGGCAGACACTTGAATTTTCATATTTATAAATCTGAAGTTGTTTAAGCTTTGATCAGGCTTGAGAAGGACAAATTCATTAAGTGAATTGATTAATATTGATTGTTTGGGTATAGAAAAATTTTATTCTCACCAGTAACCAGCTGCATTTTGTTAGTAATTCTGTTGTGTAGGTATAATAATGTGTGAAACATGAGCTGGAATTTATATTTAAAGACATTTTTGAGGGGTAGAAGAAGAAAAAGGTTTAGGGACAAAAGTATGTGTTGTTGTACTTTTTATCTTTGTAGTTGCAGAGGAATCTTTTTATGAAGTTGAAAATAATTTAGATTACTGTATCATTCCAGGGTTTTTCCTGGCTATAATTTGCTCAGGTTTTTGAACATGATTTAAATACAGGATGGCTAGAATAAACAAATAAAAATTTAGGTCCAGGACTTGTTTAGTCATAGGTGATTTTGTTATTGGTAGTCTGTTTGCCATAGCTTTATAAATATACTTGTGTATTAAATACTTTTAAGTTTTTGCTGTGAAACTGGTGGATTGCCTACTTTACAAGATAACCCATATATCGAGAATGAAAATTTTTCTCTTCTGTTTTTTGTTTTCTTTTGATTTGAAGTAATCATGCCATTCTATTAATGCCTTCAAAAGCTCTCATACTTCATGGCAGAAAAAACTAAAGCTTCAAATATATTTCTGTATTCATTATGCAATTCTTGTCTTATGTTTAATTTGTGAGACTTTTAAATTGTTGTATTTTTTCACATGTGTTCCTAGAATGAATAAAATCCTCATCAAGATGTTCTTTCAGGTTTCTTAAATGAGTTTCTTGTAGCCACTGAATTTTCTATTGGAGTGATGTATTCCATAGTAAGTAAAAAAAATTGTTAAACTGTGAGTCAATAAAATATTTTTCAATGTGACCTCTTTACACGTCTTTGCGCTGACAACCTATTTATGTGAAAATGCATCCTGTTACTTTGTTTTCATTTCTGTTTGTGAGGATTTGTATCAAAAATGCCTCTCTGCTGCACATCTTAAAATGAGAAGTGCTTTTATGGTGCCTTTTGGTTTTGTAGGTTACCTAAATATTAATGAAAGATGTAATACTTGGTTCTGATATTTTTGGTTTTGATGTTTGAGTTGTGTAATCAACATGGCAGGACACTTAGGATACTGTAAGAATTGGAAGTGGTTAATAATTTATCTTTCATTGGTTGGGGTTTGGTTTTCTGTTGGTTAGGGTTTTCTAGTGCATGTATAATCAGTGTAGAAATGATCTGTAGGCAGTTTGTTTTAGACTGTTTTCAGATGCCTGACTGAATGGAAATTGTCCAACAGGTCAGTAGTAGGTTAAGCATTGTGGTGATGAAATTTAGGAAAACGAAATCCACTGAGTGTTATGAGAAGCAGAAGGATTTTATGATGACTTGTTTCATGTGGGGTGGGAACTGACAAATGTTTCATGTAATATCACAATGATTTTTCTATACTCCAGCATCTATAGTATGAATGCATGTCTGAGTGCAATTTTAGTTTTTAATACTTCAGCATTAACTGTATTCTCTCCCTGCTTCTTGTTTTTTCTTTTTAAAGGTTGCAACAAACTTTCTTTTAAGGAGGTACCAGTGTCATCACAGATGAACCCCTTCTACATTTCAGTAACATAATTAGGAAGTTTCAGTCAGCAGGTATTTCTCTGCTTTTTCTGACTCCTCAGGGTGGATATTTTTGCCATGTGTCCAAGCAGTGTGTGGAATCCTTTCATTTGTGTTTGAGGTGTGAACAACCTCTGAAAGATCTGCTAGAAGAATAAGGAGGAACCTCTATGGGTAACTCTTGGCTGGAAACAATTACTGATCAACCATGGTAAAACTTGCCAACCCTCTTTATACGGAGTGGATTCTGGAAGCTATACAAAAAGTTAAAAAGCAAAAGCAAAGGCCTTCTGAAGAGAGAATATGTCATGCTGTTTGTGCTTCCCATGGATTAGATAAGAAGACTGTTTCAGAACAGTTGCAACTTAGTGTTCAAGATGGTTCTATTCTTAAAGTCACTAACAAAGGTCTTGCATCCTACAAGGACCCAGATAATCCTGGACGGTTTTCATGTGTTAAACCTGGCAATATTCCTAAATCAGTTAAGGGATCTAGAGGAGCTTGTAATGAGCTCCGTAATGTGGATTGGAATAAACTCTTGAGAAGAGCAATTGAAGGGCTTCAAGAACCTAATGGCTCCTCCCTGAAAAACATAGAAAAGTATTTGAGAAGTCAAAATGACCTAGCAAGTATTTTCAACAATCCTGCCTTTCAGCAGAGGTTGCGGCTGGGGGCCAAACGTGCTGTGAACAATGGGAGGTTACTGAAGGATGGTCCTCAGTATAGAGTCAATTATGGCAGTTTGGAAAGCAAAGGAGCTCCAAAATACTCCAGCACCTTCCCAGCTTCCCTTCCACCTGTCAGCCTATTACCCCATGAAAAAGACCAGGTAAGTCTGAAAAATGAGAGCTAATGTACTAATGAAAAACTATTATTGCTATCCTTTGTTTATTTACCTAATACAAAAGTAATGATTCTTCTTGTGCTTTATTTACCATTTGAATGCATATGAGTGGGGCTGCATGTCTAAGATTTATTGCAGACTCAGTTCTGGTAAATGAATTTTACTTGGCTCCATATGTCCTGCCATTCTGCATTGGAGAGTTTGCTTTTTGAATTTTCAGTAGATGAACAGAGCAGCAGAGAAGAGTACAGCTGTATGTTCTGTTGTAGTTGTGAGATTGTTCTGTCTTGCCTGACAGACTGGTGTAGCTGAAATCTGCAGCGTGATTTGCTTGTGGTCTTTTACCTTCATTTTCTGCTGGGATATACAGATTTTCTTGTGGTTTGATGGCCTGAGATGCCACTGGTAGGACTTGTGATGTTTAAGACCGCAAGAATTATTATTTTTTAATGCTATTTGTATGTGGATAGTGAGCTTTAAAATGTCAGTTAATAGAAACTGGAATGAATGTTAATATTCTACGAAGAGAAATGAAGATGTTAGAGTGACAGTTTGAGCTGAACTGCAGTATTCTCCCTCTTTTATTTTTGTTGTGCTCCCTGCTTGGGTTTATTTTTGCTATTACTTGAGTCTTGTTTTGAAGTTAATTGTTCACAGAGTTTCAGCTTGAGGGAGAAAGGCTACCAATTAATTTTTTGTTTATGAAAGGATAGTGTCAAAGATAGGTCTGCAGGTACTCTTTGATCATTTCCCATTTAGTATGGTGAAGTGTGTTTGGAATTTTCAGTTTTCTTTGGGAGAAAGAAAGTTACCTGTTTCAGTCTTAAAATATTTTTAAGTTGATGGTTTGGGGTTCTTTTTTGTTTTGTTTTGTTTTTGTTTTCCTCTTCTGGCTGGTCAAGTTTGATGGCAGTTGTTTTAGACATGGAATAGTCCAGACAGCTTTGCTATTGTAGAGGTGCCACCAGTGTCTCCTAGAAGCTGTATTATGGTTTTCAGGGGTAGTTTTCCTTTGATGGTGAGATGCTGGAGGGTTCAGAGTAGAAAACGCTTGTGTTGGAATTATTGAGGTTTTCAGGAACACTTGTTTGGGGAACTGTCAGAGGTGAGTAGTTGTAGCTTTATTTTTGTGAGCTTCTCTAAATAAATGTTAAATATAATTGCACTTTTGTATGGATATCTATTTATGTTAAATTGGACTTCTCAGGTATTTGAGGGATACATGGAGCTTCACACTTTATAATCACAATGGAAATTCAAAAGTGCTGCATACTGTGCAATTACTGCTGTAGCTGTACACTGTAAACATTTAATTACTTGTAGTGATAAAGCTGTTTAAGTAGTTTGAGTTTCTACTGTAATTCTGATACTGTAATGACATGAAAAACTATAGGGCTGGAGTACTGAATAACCCAAGTAACATGAATTTCTACAAAAATGTTTCTCCCATGTTAGGCTACCTACTGAGACTGACAGCCTTTGCAAGGAATGTTAGTTGGGTCATGGTGCTGAAAAAGCCAGTACTGCCATACTAAAATACTGGTATAAGGATAAATCTGTCTTCTAGAAGTTAGCCAAACAAATCTGTTCTCTAGCAAGTGCTTTGGCAAGAAATAAGCTTTCATTTGGGTGCCTCAAAATTAGCAGTGTGACTTGCGTGTTTAAAAACTGGCATACGGTTTTTCCTGACAAAAATAGTTTTGATGTGAGGTTGGTGAATCAGTAGTTCCATGTTAGTGTAGTTGACCTCTTAGTTGTGCTAAGTTACTGAGGTTACTGAGCAAATATATAGAGACTTGTTTTAAATACAGGATTTTTACTGTTCTTTACCATGTATGGCTTTAAATACTTCAGGGACAGTTCTGAAAGTAAGTGTACCTAAGTTGTCCCTGTTATTGGCATGTGACTATCTTCATTTGAAATTTATGTTAATTTTTGTATAAGCAGTTTGACATTGCACAAAAACTGTTAGGCTATTTTTAGGAAGCATTTAAGTGACAGTATGGGGCATGTCAAGATTATTTATTGAAATTAATACAATAAATGTTGGGAATGGCTAATGTTTGATAAGATTGGCGTATTTTAAAGTTTCTTTGGCACTTTCTATACCTAGTACAAGTAAGAGATGATTTCTGTTGGAGTGGCTAATTTTGTATATTTGTTTTGTTTTGGTTTTTTTTTTTTATTTTCAAATACCAGAGGTGGTGTTCTAGCTTGATTGTGGAAGTTTGAGTAATTTTTATTATTTTTCTTTCTGTAATGCATAATTAGCATCTCATCAGGATGGGACAGAAGACTTGGTCCATTGGAAGTGCATTAGAGCTCTCTGTCAGTCTGAAAATTCACACTCGCAATACCAAATGCAGACTCTAAACCTTTCTTCCTGAGTGAAAGGTGATCAGAAGAGATACAGTATGGCCTGTGTGGGGCAAGGTGGTTGTGTTGTGTGTGGGTTGTTGTTGGCTTGTTGGGAGTTTTTTTGGTTGTTTGGTTTTGGGATTACTGTTTTTGTTTGCTTGCTTCAAGCACCCACCTAAAGCATCTGAGTATGCAGAGCACTGCGAAGATAAATACTGTTGAAATGCAGTGTCATGGAATTTAGTTTTGCAGACCTGGAGCCTTGACTATGTGACAGGAGTGTTGAGTGGTTTACATTCTATGAATACTTGGAACAGGGAGCTGGAAGTGCTAAACATTTTGTCTTAGCAGTATGCTGTTGAGCTGCTTTTCTCATCCCTATTAACTGGGTGATCCAATTCAACTAGATACAGTTCTCTTGTTTTCATTCGATTTAGAAATAGCTGCAGTTAGTTACAGAAATACATAAGCAGCCATGTTTCCTCTTGTTATCCATGGGCCTGGAAGAAAGGATTTGTATAAAAATGTTGTTTCAAGTGTTATCCTGACTTTTCTGGATTTGCACAAAGTTATATCAATTCTTGAGTTGCAGCAAGAGAAAGCATGCAGTGCAGCTGTTTAAATTTCCCCCTCCTCTATCCCTTTCCATTCCTGTGTGTGTGGAGGGTTGCTTTTCCATCTCTGAATGAAGAGATTCAAGGTTCATGAAAGATAGATCTTGTTGGAAGGTCAGGAGCTTTTGGCAGCTATATGGTGTCTAGGTGGTGTATTTTAAGTGTCATGAGTAGTATATATTATATAAAGGACTTTTCAGTTAGCTGGAGTATTCTGGTGGCATTGAGGGAAATGCTCGCTGGCTGTCTGGACAGGTAACTTGAATCAATGCACTTCCAAAGGTGCCTGATGTAGTGTTAACTGGGTTTGTGAAGGACAGCATCCAGCCAGAGGTAGAGCTGCCTTAAGAGTGAAGGAAGGCTGAAAACATATTCAGGATGAAGACTTGTAGTGTCTTATGTCCTGAAAAAAAAAAAACACCCAGAAAAAGGTCATCCTCAAATAAAGAAACAACAAAGCAAAAAAACCTGCACACACAAGAAAGCAGAAAAAGAATTCATTCTGTTGTGTAGCAGTTTGATATTCACTATGTTGCTATGCATATTTAAACAATATAACTGCTCTTATGTACTCTTCCTTATGCTCAAGAGTATAGTTCATAGATACCCTCCCTTTTGCTTCACACCTTTTCTCACTAAGCATTTCTTGAAAAGGGGTGTATGAATATGTTAACCAGAAAATGCAGTGTAAAAACTGGTTACATAGTAGGGAAGGGTGTGAAGAGAGAGGAAAATTGAGTGATACTTAGCTTTTCAATAAGCCTTTGAAGCATTAAAATGTGCTTCTGGAAATGCAGCAAAGTGGTATTTAAAACTTATGGTTAGTTTTAAGAAGTTTAATGGTGTCAGTTGTAGAATGGCAATATTGCTGATGTTTTCTGTTTTCATTGCCACTTGGGCAAGCACTAGGAAGGTTCTACAGTTTGGGAGCTGCATGAAATCTAGTAAGTCTTGGGAGTTAGCCATCTCCTGAGCACAAGTGCTGTGTGACTATAAACTCAAAGCCTATTTGTAGGCTGTAGGCCTTTATTTGCTTTTTTTTTAGACATAATTTAAAAGGATAAATTGAGCTTTTAAAGATGAAGATGGAGTGGCCATTGTAACATCGGAGGGCTGTGGGAATGCATAGTGTATTTCAGCAGTTTAATCTTTGCTTTGTTCAGAATAATTAGTACTTAAACTTCAAAGATAATGTTCAAATGGAGATGGCTTGATGTTGGTTCTCCTCAATGCTCTGTTGAACAGCTCAGCAACTGTGATTTTCATCTGATTCTTGGCATAAAAAAATTTACTAATCTCTCTTTCACTTTCAGTTTGTCTTTCTAAGCTGACTTTCATGCAAAACCAAACTTGTTTTATTAATTTTTCTTACCCTGAACTCCTATCTAATTTTGTTTTCACTGGCCTATGTACATTTAGCTTTCCAAAGTGTAACTTGGCATGGGTTGAATTTCAGTTTTCTGGTATGTATCTTGTGCCAGTGCAGACACTGGGTGTTCCTCCTTCTGTCTTTCAGGCAAAGGGCCAATCTATAGCGAATTGCTTTTTTGGCATTCAGGCTCCTCCTTGCTCAGTTTTTATGCTTCCTGTCTTCCTGTGAGTAGGCAGCAAGACAGTGTTGGTTGAGATTTCTTGTTGCATCTGTCCTTTAGACTTTCCACTGTGCAGAAACAGAAAAGGAAGGCAGAAACTAATGAACAAGGTGTTTTGCAGATTTACACATATGGGGATATTCGTAATGCTGAACTTTGGGAGCTGCCTTTATGTGGTGTTTGGGCTTCTGAGAGTGAGTCTGAGCACTCAAATACAGTGATGGGAAGGTTTCTATAGAGTGTCTGCAGTGCTACAATTGAAGTGACTGTACACAGGGAAATGAAAAAGAAATCTAGGTTTGAGCTTTGTCAGTCCATAAAATAGTGTTGTCTTAAGGTGCAACCTTTGTTTCTCTCCCATAACATCTTCATAGTGACAAAATACTGAGGAATGTTGGCATTACTTGGCAAACATGAAGTC